AGGTGCCTATATGTATTATATCAAAGTAATCGGCCTTTCTGATGGCTGATACAAGAACGCAACAATTTAATATGCAAATTAACCAATAATTGACTGTGTGTCATAAAAATACTGAGTTATTGTGGTGCTTTCATGGAATGGAAAGTAGCCATCACCTGCCCTGGTGTCTGCTACACTGAAATATGTTATGATGGTACCGTTTATGCAAATGATTTGACCTTTTCAGCTGTACATACCTGTTCTTGTTCCTTGACCTCAGACTTCAGGTGTTCTATGTGTACCAGGTATGCTTGTTCCTGCGCTTCTCTCGTACTTAGTTTTAATTCTAATGCTTTCTTCTCTTTCTCTAGAAGGTAGTTTTGTGCTTTCAGTTCAGCCTTTTCTTCCTGCAAATCACAGTATTTATCACATCATCAATAAACAAAATTTGTAAATGGCCGTTGAGATCTCATTGAGAGTGAGAGTCACATGACTCCCAAAATCATCATCATCGTTTCCACTGTTTCTATGGTATTTAAAACAGTAAGCACACTATTTTTGGGACAGAAAAACAAGTCACATGACTTTCTCTCACTCTCAATGAGATTTCATTTTGGAATAACATCTGTGAAAGATTCCTTAATTATAATAAATAAATCCACTCTTTATTGACTTTAGCAAAATTAGTTTGCCAGTAACTCTGACCTTTATGTAAATGAATTCAACCTTTATTATATATGTTGGTCTTTATTCATAACTCAAGACCATTGACCCTACATATTTACATAATAAAAACAATTTATGCATCTACAAGCTTCACCATCATAAATATCAAATTTGAAATGTTTATTCAGATTTATGTAAATAATTTGTATGCAAATAAATTTGACATTTATTTTAAAAACTGTACAAGACACTTTGCGATTGGTGTCTTTCGTGATCAGTAATATTTACAAAAATTTGTTTTCACTATTTTATACACTGGCTTGGCAATTCCCATCACCAATTAGATATTGTCACAGCATTTCAGCATTTTTTTTAACAAATCCAAAAATCACTCTCGATAATTTTGCTCACTTTACATTTGAAGTTTTGCTAATTTTAATAGGCATACATATTTTAATGTACACTCATAAAAATACCCACAAAATAAGAATTTAGTATGTAGCCTTGACAAATAAGCATTATTTTTCTTTGTCTTAATAATGCATTCAGTTTTTTCGATCTGTGTAACTTCTTATGGAAATCTTAATAAAATTTAAAGTTCAGTTCACAACTGGCAGTTTTGCAATATTAGAGCTTGTCAACTTGTCCATGGAGGCTGCAGGATTTGTTTTTATAAATATTGTATTCACTGACATTTTTTGTATTTATATTTGCGATGAGTTCCACAGTTGTTGTATTTTTTTCTTAATGGTGTGACTACAGTGACAGTGTGGTGTACTCGGCAGTTGTTTTTGTTTTGTTTTGTGTTCTTGGAATTTTGTACAAAAATCAACAATGGCTAAATATGTATATTATTTCCACTTTGCAGTATATCGTAGACAGTACTTGTATACTTTGTTCTCCAGCATCAATATCGGATTGTTCGGAAGCATGAGATTGTAATGTAAATTTCGTTTTAGAGTCCCATGCTGACTATGTTTCATCTCGTTTACTTACTTACTGTCAGTGTCTGACTGGTATATACAAAATGAGACCAAGTAAACGTCAGAATAGTAGAAAAAAAGTAACCTAAAAATTAGTTTCTTGTGTTAAGCAATCCGCAGAACCAAATCAGTCTGTCAGCCGTCGCCGTCCATGGCAGCGATATGATTTTACACATCGAAATTGAGAATCGCAAGTGTAGACATATTGCATTGAAATGAACATTAAATAACGCTACCCCGGCTAGCAATCTTCATGGTTGATGTAACTGGTATTTCCATCTATTCACACTATTCTAACCTGCACAAGTGAATGTTATCAAATTTGCAAGTGTGCATATTTTCGTACAGTGGCGTAAACATTACTACAATCAAAGACGCGCTGAACAGGAGTCCATTCTGAGCTAGTACCATTGTCAATTTTTGGAGAGAAGAGGACCATTTATACAGGGGACGCTTCAGTAAGAAATTGTTAAAATTGCCCGATTGGCATATCAAAATCCTGTATTGAAACAGAACATATACTATATTCACTAAAAAAAAACATTGTTATTTTTCTAGACTCACAACAAACTCAAAACAAAAGAAACAGTCCGATCCAAACAACAAACATCCTTGAAAATCAAGTCTTATTGCCCTTGCGTTTCCATACATTTATGCCAAAAACAACCGATTTTCGCCAAATCTTCTAAGATTCTTTGATAATATGAGTTGAATGTAAAATATGTGAAAAAAAAGGTATATTCGCTGGACTTTATTTTCACTGAATCATTCCTTCAACGAAAATAGCGAAGATTAATTCTAAGCGAAAATAACACATTTTACAAACATTTGGATTTGTTTTAATAACTCAAGGTCATTGTTTCAAAATATTTTCATAATAATTTGGCTATAAAAATAATATATACAGGTCAATGCATCAACTTCATAACATTTTTCAAATTAGATCATTATGTAAATAAAAATATAATTTGCATATATAACCTACCTTGACTGCATTTAACTCCTGAATAAGAACAGCATTTTCTAAATCCAATCGTTGACTCTCAGGATGTGTTGAGATATCCTGACTCAACGAGTCAATGTGAACACTTTCTAATTCTAAGAGAGTAAGACGTACGGCCGCTTTGTCGTTTCTCAACTGCTGTATATAGTCTTTTAAACGCTGCTCATCATCTTTTGTAAATTCCGTATCACAACTACTCGCTGTTGAACTTGTTGTACTGAAACAAATAACAATAACAACTTAGCGATTATATTTATTATCATAACAACCATTCATTTTAGCTCTGTTCAGTCATCTCTGATGACAATAGAGCTAAAACATATCTAAACTATTACATTGAGAATATAGATTAAATAACAAGCAAACAAACGAATGGATACAAACTAATAATGCATGAATTTTTCTTTTCATGGCAAAATTGTGTATAAAAGACCTGAAAATATGTAATAATATAAATCTAAACATTTTGCACAGAAAATACATTTAGGTGGGCACAATTCTGGCCAAAAATCAATGAGGTGGTTGATTGACAAACATCACACCCACAGAGGGCAGTATTGCATTAGCTAACTAAACACGGTACAGATGTATTATTCCGTGTTAAAATATTTTAGGTGTGATTCCGATAGAAGTAAACATGGAAACAATATTGAAATACAAAACTGAGTTTGAAGAAGGAAGTCTATGTCGATACAGCATTCTAATTGTTTGTTGTCTACTAAATGGTGCTGTGCTGAGTTGTTACTATATAAAACTGAATTGATTGATCAAAATGTTTGATGTTATTACTTTCATTATATATTATTTTCATTATTTCTTTCATTTCATTTAGTTGAAATGAAAAATAATTCCTTGTCATTTGGCACGTTGTTTTTCATGAGTTTTTCATTATATTTGTAGTTATATCAATATGTCAAATGAGTTTTTCTGATATTTATAAATAAGACAATATTCTGTTCATAAAAATGATTTTCAGTATAAAAATTTTCACAATTCACGTATGCTGCTTATCACTGATTCTTAAATAAAAAAAAAAATTAAACTGGAAACATGGCTTCTTTTGTTTTTTTGCAAAAAATTGTTAATTTCCTTCTAAATTAAGAAATAGGCTTGTATTGCAATGTTTTCTAGTTTTCATATTTTTTGTGGGTCAGCTTGCAATAAACAGGGGACTAAATCTGTAATTAAGCCTAAAGTAACAAATGATATTTATTATTTCCACAGATTTTCTGGTAGGTGATGTAGTAAACTAGTCATTATACTATTAGATGCAAGTAAATCTGTATAGCAATATCAGCATTATAAATGTCCACTTAATTCTATGTCTAACAAATATGTTTTATTTTAGCCTTTATTTCTAAAACTACACAAAAAATGAACTGACATTTCATAGTGATTGAAAAGATTCCCAAATTTGAAAATGATCAGATAAAAATTGTAATTACAGTAATCACAAGAAGAAGACAATTTTAAATGAAATTAAACCAAT